ATCGTTCTCACTTTCATCAAGAGAATAACCTAGCCCACTTATACGAGGGTAGAAATTCGAGGAAGCAATCATGACCAATAAGAACATATTTCATTCACTTATTAAAGACGCTGCCAGATCACTCAGAAACCAAAGATGGTGTCGTAGTTGCAATATCTTATATTAGTGGCAATACTTAGTCTCAACATCACAAACTTTCCAACAAGATATCATAGGAAGGAATAATGTAATCATAAATATGTACTACTTTAATTATCTTTGGGTTTTTCTCTCTCGTATGTAAAAGATTGAGAAAAAGAAAAATTGTGTGATCCAACTTTTTCCTCTCAAAAAAAAAAAAACCTCTGAGGAGCCACCTCCTCCAACTTAACGCAGATAAAAAAAATTAATACATTTCCTAAAGTCCCCTCAAAAGAATCTTGTCCATCCCTCTCTTTTTTTGACATCTACTCTATGATATCTATGATATAGACTGTATGTGCTCACAAACAATACGAGACCTTACGTCCTAAAAAAGATTCAACATTAAACTTATTTAATAAAGGATTTACATATATCATATAATTCTTATGTATTTAAATATCAAATTTCTATAGTTTGATTTTTATTTCTAAAACACTCAAAATTTCAACATCTGCCAATGTAAAAACTTAAATTTCATGCATGAACAGTGCAATTAATACCCGGAAGTCGTAAAAAAAGTCAACCTATACTACTCTTTGCCTTTAGATCTTCATCTATATATAGCTGATTAGGCTTACCCGTTGAATTGATCCCAATCTAAGTCTCGTTCAAAGTTGCCCAGTCCAAGTAGAAATATTATTTATCTCTTAAAGTATTTTTAGAAAGTCGTAATAAGAGACGCCATAGCTTGTATTTTGTACTTCTTCCAAACCGAAGTACAACAAGCAACATGCGCAATTTGATAATTATACAATGACCACTCTCTCCCTCTCTCTCTCTCTCTCCCTCTCTCTCTATATAATAGTAAATGGTCAATAAAGGCAGCCCCTGAGGACTTAAAAAATAAAAAATAAATAAATATAATGCAAAATATGATATAATAATGCAAGGTTAGACATTGACAAATATCTCAAAATTTTTGTTACAGTAGAATTCGGGTAGCTCATTTATAGGAGAAGGTTGCAACATTTTCTCTTTATATAACCTAATTTGATGCATGTTAAAACCAGAGATAGGATGGGGAATGGGGAATGGGGAAGGGGGAAGGAAAAATAGGGGCATTTATATAAAAATATCACCCAATTTCAATGTATTTATATATCTATCCCAATATGATATATGAGTCATACCATAACACATTTTTTTTTTTTTTTTTACCGTTATATCACTCAAATCTTTCATATCACATAATAAATACACTATTTAAAGTTTTAAAAAGAATTACATATTTTTTATGTATAGTTAAGGTGACATATATGCAAAAATTAAAGTTGATGAGTTAGATATGTAAATATATAGGAATTGGCAGACATTTACATGTAAATCATCCAAAAAAAAAGTAGAGGAGAGATTTTTGTAATAATTATATCTAAATTTTTATTTAAAAACGGTCTTCAAATGACAAAGTCATACTAATTTTTATTGATGCTTGACTTTTGTGCATTCACATAAAGAGGCAAAGGCATGATCTCATGACAAAAATTGGTTAACATTTTGTTATAGAAAGAAACTAGAGAAATAGCAAGCATCTAACTACACTATAGGCTTCTAAATGCAAATGATAAAAAATTTTTTGTCTGAAAATGAGACTGAAATGGCTCAAAATTAGATTAAATGCCCATTTTTCTTTGATTTTATCAAAATATTGATCTTTGAAATAAGAGATAAGATACATTGATCACTTTATCAAATAAAATTATAAAAAATTTTTCATATATTGATGATTATAGCTTTCAATGCTATAAACATTTTTCCTTACCAACATATATGTGTATATTGTATGATAATCTTTATGTTACTTGATTGTTATTTTATAAGAAAATTAAATATATAGAATGTGTATTAAATTTCAAGTCAAGTTTCCTCAAACCAATTCTCGATTAGAACAAGCTTATCCTTCATTAACCATTTATTTGTCTTAAACTAAATTTTTTATGTTTTAGAGAAAAACACAATATTTCAAAGTGTTAAAAATTAAGGTTGTACTTATTGGTAATTATAAGTACATGGGTCCACTTTCACAATTAAAGAAGATGGAATTAAAAATTTGATCATCATAGATGAACAAAGTAGTACACTGATAATAGTTGTAATATGATTGTAATGAATATAGTTCTCAGTAATAACATGTAGCAAAGGTTGTAGTTAGTTGCTATGAAGATAATAGCCCACCATAAATGTTGGAGGCGGTGGATGCAGCGTCAGCTTGTCACAGAGGTTGTAGTTGAAAGTTATGATAGTTTTTGGCCATGTAGGTCCTAGATTGTTGCTTTAAAAGTGTTGATTTTCCATAGAAGTTGTAGTAGAAGCTGCGGGAGTTGTAAGTCACGTAAGTCATTGTTAGTCACATAGACCATCTTAGTGAGCTGTAATAATATTCATTGGTCACATAGACTAAAATTTAAAGCTACATGAGACGTGAGCCACATATGCCATAATTGCTACTCATGTATGTTATAATGATGAGATGTAATAACATATGTATGATGTAGAGATCAGAGTAAGGAATTGTGTGAGTTGTGAGTTGCATAGGCCCTAGTTTTAGTCACATAGGCTGTGGACAGAAGTTTGTAATAACATATATTAACCATAGAGGCCAAAGTAGGGAATTGTGTGAGATATGGACCATATATGTTATAATTCGTGATTACATAATCCATAGCGGTGAACCGTAATGACATATGTACACCACAAAGCCAAAGTTGGGAGCTGCATGAGCCATGGACCAAGTAGATCATAGTTGGTCATGTTGGTTGAGTGGTTAGCTACAACAACTTCCAATGGCCACAAATGCCAAATTTGGAAACTACAAGAGGATTGTACCACATAGACCATAGTGACAAGCTATGTTAACGTTTTGGGTTTGTATGTCATTGAGGCAGAAGTGGGGAGTTGCATGAGTTGTGGAGCTCATAGGTCATAGTTTTTCACATTTGTCATAATGAGAAGTTGTGATAGCATTTGTAGGCCACATTAGAAGAAGTTGGAAACTACAATGAGTTATAGGCCACATATGCCAAAGTGGGTAAGGTCATAGTCTGAAGAAATTCAATGTATTCTTAGTATGGTGGTTGTAAACGCATATTGCAGGGATTTTTCATTAGATCCTTGATATTATGTTAATCTTGATCCCAGATTGAGATTATGTTGTTACACCGTATGTGGGGTGCCTTGTTACACCGTCTCCGGGGTACGTCGTTATACCGTCTATAGTGAGCATTGTTACATGGTCATCTGGGTGTGTCATTACATCATCTACAGTGTATGTTATTACAACATCTTTGGGGTATTTTGCTACACAACATTCAGGACGATAAGCTGCCCCATCAGGTGCTTTGTTACTCTGCCACGTACGTCATGAATCCACAACACACGTCAAAATTTCGCAAGGGATTTTGTTGCAATGAGTTGAGGGAGATAAATGGTGGTCGATGGTTGTTGTCGGATAGTGGTAGGTGGTTGTAGGAGTGGACAGTGTTTGCTGGACTTCGATGTAGAACTCTGGATCTCAACTTCTTCTCTTCCAAACTCTGAGCTTCCTCCAGTGTAAGGACTCACCCTCTTTCATGAATGGGGTATAGCTTTATTTATAGAGTCTAAGAGAGGTCTTTTTATAAATAAAGAATGAATCTAGATTACTCCATCAGAAGGCTTGGAGAGATGTCTTTGATCAAACAATGTTCTATAGATATTTGAGTGTCTTATTCATGTTAAAATTGAGTGATCTTGAGATCGTTTGATTCATCTTGTCAAAATGCTCGATTTAACTATAAGTTTGTCATATTGAAATCCATTTGACATTCCAATTGATCACCCAAAATTTTCAAAAGTGGTTAAACAACTTGATCCAGACTTGATCTGACTTTGATTGGTCAATTTTTTTTTATAACTGAGTCCATCTCATCAAAACGACCAGCTTAACGTTATGTTTTTTTTTAAATCGAAGTTTTAATAATTTTTAATTTGAGTTTAAATATTTTTAGTTAACCCTATATCTTAAAAGTTCGTGTTAATTATAAATAATAATTCTTTTTGATGAAATAACTATATACATATGCATACATATACACAAGTGATGGCATGCCTGTATCTGGCTATGCGCAATAACCACATAGCAAATCAGGCGCATGCATATATGAAAAGGCGAATTGAATTAACACACACCGAATTTAGTTTTCGTTATCTAGTACGAAACCGCAGTTAAGACGTAATCTTATTTAGCATCGGTTGAATTTAATGATTTGAATATAAGTCAAATGGCACATCTCAGCTGTAATGTCTTGACCAGACTTTGCGAGCATGTAGTTTGGCATCATGTTTCGAGATTGGCGTTGAATATACGAACAGACTAACAAGTAACAACAACAAAATACTTCTTTAACTAATTCTCAAATAAAATATTACACTTAAAATGCATCTTTTCTCTAACCCCAAATCAAGAAGTTAAAAATAAATAATAAATCAAACCTCCTTTATATTTTCCTCATTAAATTAGCCGTCATAAGAAAACAATGGGCAGAGATAAAACATAGAAGTGTGGCAGCTAAAGAGAAAATATAAATTAATACTACTTGAAACATTGATATTTACAAATTTATCAACCATGTGATTTTTTTGATCTATTCATAATCAAATTATTGAGAATTTGATCAAAATAAAAAACACGAGTTAGTGTTTTACTATAAATTTTAATATTTGAGCCAGAAATTGAAAAATAGAAGAAATAGAGTGATTGATTTGTAAAAAACAGGTTTTAGAGGTGCTCTACATGTAATTGTCCCTAATCTATTTTATATCATACTGAGCAATATAATTTGTTCGTCTCTAACAATCTAACCCGATTTTTATTGCTTGAACAAAATAAAATGGCCAAAAAATTCTGTTTACAAAACCTAAATTCCCTATTTCCTCAATCCCCCAACTCCTTCCCTAACTAATTACAATTCAAACGCCAACCAAACCTACACCCACTACAGACCCACCACACATTGCTTTTTAAACCAAGTCCCAGCCCCGGTCCTCCGCAACTCCGCCTCCAAACCCCTCTTCCCATTCTCGTTCACCGCCACCGCCGCCTTCACTATATCCACTCCAAACAGCCTCATCACTTTAACCGGCGCAGCTCCGCCGCTGCCCGAAGCCCGAATCCGGCACTCGATGTACAGCTGTCCGTCTCCCCCCTTCGAACGGTAGAACCCAACCGTATCCCCTGCTTTCAACCCCTTCTCCTTCACAAATCTGCTCCACCCCTTGGTCAAAACGTAACTCTGGCTACTATTCCAGTACGAGTACCGAAACCTCCACACCTTCCCTCCGCCATCCTCGAAGCCAAGAAGCACCCCCTTCGCTCCTTCCCCCCCGCCGACTCCCGGCAATGAAAAATGCTTTTCTGCTTGCTGCTTCGGAATCACGAGACGGTTTAGCTTGCCGACATCGCTGGGCGTGACGGATTTATCGAAGAGATGTTCGCGCGCGGGCTTCGAGGCGGAGGGGTGGAGAGATGGCGGCGGCGATTGTCGGAGGTGAGAGTGGTGGAGCTCGTCGAGGTAAGTGTGTTTGCGGAGCATGTCGACGACCTCTGCTTTAGAGCGGGAGAAGAGGAAAGCGAGCTCATAGGCGTCGGGGGAAAGAGGGGGGAAATTGGTGGCGGCGTCGCGGCCTCGGAAGCGTTGCGCGGCGGCGTCGTATGCGCGCGCGGCTTCGCGTTCGAGGTTGAACGTGCCGAGCCAGACGCGCTGGTGTTTCTCGTAGATCTGTGCGCCCCAGCGGCCGTTGGGTTGGGGGACGACGCCTTTGTATTGGGAAGATGGAAGCTTTCTGGATTCGGATGGCGGTTCGGCGAGTGTTAGGGTGCTGCTGCCGCTTCCCATGCGCTGAAGAGGAGGAGGAGGAGGAGGAGGAGGGGGGGAGAGGATGGCGGCGCAAGGGTCGGAGCTTGAGGAAGATTCGTCTACGGAGGAGCTGCTGTCCATTAATGGAGGGATGGAGATGGGGCTGCGTGTTAATGGCGAGGAAAGGGGGTGCGGGTGTTATATAGAGGAGGTTGGAAGAAGAAGATTCGTGCGAAGGGGAGCGACAGAATTTTATATAAGGGGCTTTTCTTATCAAAACGGGTACTAGTCATTACTGACCTTTATCCATTTTATTTATATTAAAGTTTATCTCTTTGAATTTAACTTTTTGCTCTTTATTAAATATGTTTATAATATAAATAAATAGATCTGAATAATTTTTTTTTAAAATTTGTATGCTCAGAGAAGAGCGAAGGGATAAGGGACTGTTTGACGCAGTTTATATGTCGCGTCAGGCGATTTTGTAATACTGTGATTTTGTTTGTTTTACGTGTTCGCTCGGGCGGCCGGCTACCCCGCGTAAGGTATTTCACTATTCTTCCCTGGACCTTTCGCCGCTCCGAGAGGCTTGAATTCCGCGTTTAGGGTGAGCTTATTACCCCTCAGCCCTTCGATCCAGTCACCTCTGTCCCTCGATCCTGCTCCACTGTTGTTGCTTTAACTGTGTGATCAAGCTTTCCCGTCTCCTCTGTTCCTCGATCCTGCTCCTCTGTAGTTCGTGGATCGTGAGGTATACTCATCCGAGTTCTATGATTCACAATTTTAGGGTTCTTATCTCCAGTAAAGAAATGATTCGAAATTTTTTCTTAGTTCTATTATTCGAATTTTTTTTTTCCTTTCATGCGATGAAGCTTCACAGAGAAAAAATTTTTTTATGTTTTTTTATGGAGGAAACCTGAAAAAATTATTCAAGGGGGAGCTTGATTACATAGCAGATATTTCATGGAGAAATTGATTTTTCATGTTTTTTATGGAGGAAACCTAAAAAAATTAAACAATTTTGTCGTAAATTGGTTAACCAAACAGAAGCAGAATGGTCATTTATTCAACAACAACTCCCAATAAACTGTTCTCAATAAGCTGCCTCAAACAACAAGCCAACTTATTCTGATAATCTGCAGATTATCAGAATAATCTGTTTATCAGCAGATCATAAATAATCAACAACTGCCCCAAACAGAACCTAAAAAATTAGAGGTTATGAAAAAATTGAATTTGTATTATGATATTGTGTTTAAATTTAATCAGTTATTTTTATAAATTATTTAATTCCTTAAATATGAACAAAATTAACATTTCTTTTCAATATTATGGTGGATTATTCGTAAAAATTATTTTAGAAAATTTTAAGTATTGAGAGCCTCATAATTAAAGAATTATTTTCATAAGAATCATTATATTTATTATTTATTTAGAAAATATACTTAAATATGTATTTTCTGAATACTCAAATCTTTCTTCGGAGGTAAAATTCTCAGAATAAGCTTAACATCTCAGGCAGGCAGCTTTTGTTTACTCAAAGTATCAGGATTTTTCTTAAAAGAATATTTACATAATGCCACACAACTCATATTTATTTACAAATTTAGCATCTAAATTTTCTTTTTTACATGCATGGCACTTAAATCCTTAAGATCATATCAAATCAACATTATTTTTATATTCTTAAAAGCAAAATTCACCTTTTGTCAGGCCAAAATGCTATAAATATAAATATCAAATTTTAGGTATTAAATATGTAAATACATAAGAAAGTAATATGTATGGAAGCAAGGAAAATTTTTGAAGTAGTTTGTAGAGGATCTTCTCTTCAACTAAGAGGCTCGGATTAGAAGTATATATTCGAATTATTAATTTATAATTTAATTGTGGGTTAATTTTAATTTCAAATAAATCAACAAAAAAAGTGTGGATTGCCAAGGGAAAAGAGAATTGTGGAACTAAGTTCCACTACCGAAATGAGAAGAGAAGACAGCTGAAATGGATTCACATGAGAGGTGGGGCCAACTTCTGTAAAATGGAGGATGGATGAGAAGGAAGGGTGCATCCCCCCTCTGCTTGGTTGAAGGTTCTTGATAATCACCGTTTATGTTAAAGAAGAGCCCATTTATGTTGGTTTTTAATTAATTAAATTTGAATACTGCTATTAATATTTAATTATTAAATAAAGAAACTCGATCAATTTATTGTGAGAATGCATTAATGATAATAAATAAAATTATTTAAAGCACGTGAATAAATTAGTTGAGAGATTTGATATAAAGATTAATTAAGCTTTAATATAGAGTTTGTTTAAGGTTTGTTCATGAGTATTTGAATCCCATCATTTTTTTTTTTGATCCCACATCATTAGTGATGCGTGCCGGAAGGACTCTTGTGGTGAAGTCATAAATTTAGATTCTTAGCATCGGACAAAAATTTAGAAAATACAAATGTAATTAAATAGAAGTGAGTAGAAGGAGACACTTCGATTTTTATGTGGAAGCCCCTTGAAAAAGGGAAAAAATTATGAGGTCATGTTCAGTTGAAATAATTCACTATGAATTGTGAGTAGAGAGACTTCCTTTTCTCTTAAATTAGGGAAGATAAAGTTACAAATATGATCATTGTAAATGTGCAATAGTAGTTCATGGATAATTCATCTAGTCTGACTGTGATGAATGTAATTCTTGATGATAGTATGCTACAAATGACATAATCAATTGCTATGGAGGCAGTATTCCTTCGTAAATATTTTAGATGGTGATCATAAGGTCAGCATGTCATATAGACAGTACTTGAAAGTCAGGATAGAAGTTAGTCATGTGGGCCGCAGATAGTTGTTTCAGGAGCATCAATTGGCCATTGAGATCGTAGTAGGAAGTTACAAGAGCTTTGATCCACTTAGGCTGCAGTTGGTCATATGGGATTTAGAGATGACGTGTGATGAAATCTGTAGGTTACAGAGACTAGAGTTGAGAGCTGCACAAGCTCTGAACCATGTAAGTCATAGTTCATCATGTACACCATAGTGATGAGCTGTGATGACTTTCGTAGGCCGCAGGGGCTAGAGTAAGGACCTGCACGGGCTATCAACCAAGTAGGTCGTAGTTGGTTAGCTATGTAGTAGCGGTGAACTATCATGATGTTTATAAGATGTCGTTTGAGTCTGGCTTTTTGCACAATCTGTGAACCACGTAGGATAAAATTAGTCATGTAGGTTGAAGTGATGAGTTGCGACAACATCCATAGGCCACATGAGTCAGAATCGGGAGTTGCACGAGCTATGAACCAAGTTTATAATTGGTCACGAAAGTCATAGTGGTGAGCTAGGATGACTTCCATAAATTGTAGGGGTAAGAATCTGAAGCTGTAAGAGCTATAAACCACGTAGGAGGTAGTTCGTCACATAGGTCATAATGATGAGATGTGATGACATTTGTAGATCATGGAGACCAAATTCGGGAGTTGCACGAGTTGTGAGCAACTTAGGTCATAGTTGGTCACATAGACTATAGTGGTGGGTTGTGATACATTCTTAAGGTGTATGGGCCAAAGTTGGGAGCTGCATGAGCCGAGATAATGTTTGTAGGCCACATAGGTCTGAGTTAGGATTTGCACGATCTGCGATAATGTTCGTAGGCTGCAGAGGATGAAGTTGGAACTTGCATGAGTTGTGAAAATATTCATAGGTCATAAAAACTGAAGTTGGAAGCTACAAAAGTAGTTATGGCAATCTAAGGTTGGAGCTACATGAGCAATGACAATTTATGTTGGTCGTAGAGGCTAGAGTTCGAAGCTGAGCAAGCTTAGATTGCTTCTATAGGTCATAGAGGCTGGAGTCGACACTATACAAGTTGTTGACCACATAAGCGATAGTTGGTCACATAAGTCATAGTTGTGAGATGCGAGGAGAGAACTTCAAGAGTCCATAGAAAGCCCTTTTTTTCTAAGTGCGAAAGTTGTAGTTGTTGTTGTAGTGTGTGTCATCGCACTATATTTGGGATACGTCATCACGCCGTCTTTAGGGGTGTTTCGTTACACCATCTTTGAAATGTGTCATTACACTGCATGCAATGGGTTGTTGCAGCATATTGAACCTGTGTTGTTACAATGTTTTAGAGGTGTATCATTACACGGGATATTAGACATATTGCTCTACCGAGTGCTTCAAAATTCTATAAAATACAATGAAATTTAGTAACACACATTATGACCCTGCAAAGAAATTTCGTAGCAAGTAGGTGCCTGTTGATAGTGGTCAATGGAAGTCGATGGCTATAGGAGTAGGAAGTGCTCGCTTGATCTTCGATGTAGAAATGACATTGCACTTCTTTTCCTTCTCCTGACTCTTCTCCTAACTCAAGTCTTAATCCAGGTATTTTCTCGAGGAGGGGGGTGGGACTTTATTTATACAGTCAAGAAGAGATCTCTTTGTAAATAAGGAAGAAATCTGAATCACTCCATCCGATGACCTAGAGAGGTCCCTTGATCGAAATGAACCTTAATAACGTCAACATTAAGTGATCTTTAACTCGTTAGATTCATCTCGTTGAGACGCTTGATTGACTATAAGTTTGTCAAATTTAGAATCGTTTTGACCTTCTAATTAAGCATCAAAAGGTTCCAAAAAAATTTCACTTTCGATATAGGTTTGATTTGACTCTGATTGGGCCCATGTTTGTGTCATTGCAATCGTCTCCCTGAGCCAGTTAATTTGACTAATGGTTTGCTAAAGTCAAAGTTCTATATCATTTTAATTGAAGATCAAATATTTCTTGCTAAAAAGATTAACTTAAGATTGGTGTTGCACCTTGAGATCCATGTAGAATGACGAAAATTTGTTGATGGCGTAACATTATGGAATAAAATGATCCCGCAAGTTAACCAATAACATATATTAAAAGGAATATTGCAATGAGTTTAGATGAAGAACAATGATTGATGATTTTGACACCATGAAGCATCAAACATGATTTAAGATATGTGTTCACAATGATTAGGCTACATAAAACCTTTTTACCTTATAAATTATTCTTAATTATCTTTTCCATTCATCTACGAGCGAGCATTTGATCAATTTTCAAATTGTCAAACCAATTTGCAACCAAAACTAAAAATTCATAAATCAAACCGATTAACATTTTGATAAATTCGAGTTGAAATTCAAACCACATTAAACAATTCGGTTATTAAAAATATGAAAATCTAGCTGTTGTTTGGAGTTCAATTACGAACACATTAAATTTACTTATCT